TGCTCATCGATCGGCAGTAGGCGAGGCGTAGACACCAACTACGCAAGCACTAGCATAGGACAACCGTCCATCATTCAAGGGGTTCCATAGCATCTGACAACCTCCAACTCACTAACCCGCCAATTCATACAAAAACTTGCCAACACAACAGCGAGAAAGGCCAGATACGAGAAGAGCATAACGGCTAGGCTTTCACTTATCGTCGAAGAAGAGCGAGCATAACATGCATCCGGCATCACCGCAGAACCACCAGTAGTCGCCATTACGACAGGCGTTATCATTGAGGCTAGAAACACAGCGAAGGCAAACAAAATGATCCCCAAAACGAAGCGATCCCTTCTACAATCCATCCTAGTGAATCTTAAACCAAACACCTGCCTTTAGAGGCACTATTCACTGTAGCATTCGCACGCACGATCAACTGGGAACAGAGATTATTAAAGCGGGACTACTCCAAATAGGAGATGAACGCCAAATACCCAAACAGAATCGAGCACACCGCAACGATGCCAAGGACAAAGAGCGCAGCCTCCATCACTCAAAACTTCGCTATACAAGTCCCGAGGCGATGACCAGCTCCTAAACAACAACAACATTTCCACATCAAAAACACAATTGCAGGAGACAACAATGATTAGGTAGTATCAAGTTATCAAAAGAAACATATATGTAAAATATCGAAAAAAAATGATAAAGGTCCCAATTCGGCCAGGTGGCGCGTAAATGCCAGCGTAACAAAAGGGGGGAGTGAGTGATCCCCAAGGCCTTTTCGCCAAGTCTCACCACGCTTGGCTCATCAGGGGGAGAAAAACAACCCTTAGTTGACGCTCCGAAAGGGACCACACTCTTACTGAGTCCTTCCTTTGGGGAGGCGGGTATGGAAACAAACAAGAAGAGGGAGGGGAAGGTGATGGAGGAAAAGATAGCGAGATCATATTACCGTAATGCGACTGGCAGAAGCTCTGCTCATAGCTGCTGAACTGAGGGAGAAACAGATTATGGCAACTTCAGAGGCCAGGCGCGGACCAAATGGGGAGCGTTGAGCAAAGAGCAAAAAAAGGGGGAATGCAAGGCCGGAGGGCGAGAAGAGGAGGGAGATGAAGAAGACGTCAAAGAAGAAGAAGAAGAGGAGGAAAAGGGAGAAGGAGAAGCGGAAGAAGCAGAAGGCGCAGCGAAGGGTTGGCGCAGCGATTCAATGAAAGTGCCGATACAAGAGGGCCGACCTGTCAGACTTGAACCATCGGACTCACTCCAAGCGACGCCGACCGAGGAGGGTTTAGGAAGACAAAACATCAACACTAAATACAAGAGCAAAAAACATCGAACCGTGATAAGCAAGCCGCCTCCTTAGGCCCTTAGGCAAAAAAAAGGGGGGACGAAAAACACGGGGATGATTTCCCATTCATTATTTTAGCGAATATCTGGGGCTAAAAAGCGTCTGGGTTCAGAGTTTATAAAGACTCCGTGGTGGCCTCCAAAGTTCCCGGTACAGAGCCCCCTAGGGTGACAAGATTAAGCAAGAGTCCAGAGGGGGCTTATTCTTGAACTGTACCGCGGGGCCCAAATCAAAAAATTGGGATAGGACTGTAACCCCTAACCCTTCCAAAGAGCAAGTTCAGTTAGTTTAAATAGCATCGACGTGAGCCTTTGATGGCCTCCAAAGTTCCCGGTAACACAGCCCCCTAGGGTGACAAGATTAAGGAAGAGTCCAGAGGGGGCTTATTCTTGAACTGTACCGCGGGGCCCAAATCAAAAAATTGGGATAGGACTGTAACCCATAACCCTTCCAAAAAGCAAGTTCAGTTAGTTTAAATAGCATCGACGTGAGCCTTTGATTCCGAACAGGATTCGGGACCCATGGTGACCTCCAATTTTCACGGTGAGACTCCCATATCGTGCATCTTACAGGGGAGAGACATGGTAGTCATTTCGTTTTACCGCGGGGCCTTACGTTATTATCATCTCACAATCAAGGGCATGTCTGAAAACAACTTCCCTTTAGAAAAGAAGTCAAAAGCAACAGAAAGTTTTTTAGTGGGCTAAGTTTTAGAAATATGCGTATAAGTGTGTGTGTGTGTGTGTGTGTGTGTGTGTGTGTGTGTATGTGTGTGTGTGTGTGTGTGTGTGTGTGTGTGTGTGTGTGTGTGTGTGTGTGT